AGTAGGAGTAGGAGTAGGGGTCGGAGGAGGCAAAGGGCGTCGTCGTCGTCGTCCTCGCCATCGTAGTCGTGTTTCAATTTCAAGCTTGCACCCTAGACGGTCGCAATCCACAAGCATGGAAACTCACCCGTTCCTTGCGGAGCATGCGCCTGACCGCCCACGCCATACTAACTCTGCGGCGCACTGGACAACCATTGTTTTGTCGTAGAAGGAGATGTTTTGCGAATGGCATGGATCGTCGGCCCATGGAGTCCTCCTACAAGCGGGTATTAGCATGTAGAGGTTTCTCGCTGCAGTGCAGGATGGGGACATGCATCATGAACATACAGGTGTTCGCATGCATGGAGGTCAACAAGCATCCTTAAACCGTAAAACCCAATAGTGTGACTTCTTTGGACTGCATGAAGGTGTATCGTTAAAACTCACTTTAAGCAGTGACACGTGGCCCTGTCCCCAGGCCCTCGTGGCCCCGGTGCTTCAATAAACACACACAAACATTTCAAAGCCGTAAACTCTGAGCCCCCAAAGCCATTTGAACTCATCGAAAGCATGCGTCTGACAGGTGCTGAAGCTTGTTGAGACATCTCTCGAGTTGCAGGAGAAGGTTTATCGCTGTGCATTTTGCTGCCCCCTCCACCAAAACCCCTTCCATCCAGGCTCACGGAAACGTGCCCGTCAAGTTTCGAACGCTGTTTCGTAAACAGGAAGACCATATGCCAACATACCAAACTACCAGCAAACTCCACTCTACATCCTAAACCCTGAATCTGCGAGCCCTAAAAGCCTAAACCTACTGCTTCCCAGAAGGAAGAGGCCAAACAACAACAAACACCTGAACAAACAAGCCTTTAAAGCCGCCCAAAAGAGATTCAGACACTAAGTGCATTCACACCCAGAATATAATGCACGATAACGTATGCATTCTTGTATGTGTGTATATATATATATATATACGCACACACACACACATGTACATACATGCATGCATGCATACATAAATACTTATTTCTATATATATATATATACATATGGGCACACACACATATGTATATATATATATATACACACATTCACAAGTAGATATTACAGGGATAAACGGGCCGCTCAGTATGTGTATGGTCGAAGACGCGCTTGTGTAAGACTGTGAACTTGCATCTTTACTCGTATCTGCGCATAGTGGTAAACCAACTTCTGTTTGCTTAAGTCCCTTTGGCAGCTCCGTAGAGTTTTCAAACACAGCACCATCGATTGTGTAGCACGGCCTGACTCTTGGACCAGCCCAGTTGTTGCACAAATGCCTGTTTGGCGACCACTATACCAGCAGAGGGTTCAAGTCCAATGCATATCCCCTCGCGAATGCTCGATGCACCAACGATTATATGCACCTACACACTAGCTAGCAGTTACATCGGTTTATGTACGTGGATGTGTTCATGCCTACTTCTTTTCCTAATCAATACGTCGAAGTATAAAGAGTCACTAGTTGAAGCAACGGGATGAATTGAAACTGTGCTTACAAATGATCTGAAGAACCTCGCTCTTTCTGTATGTACATAAACATATATATATATAACATACTTAAATAGACATGCATACACATGAATGTGCGCACTCACATACACAACCATACACATGCTGGCTGCCGAAACAAAGGCCACGGCAACTGGGATGATCGACTTCATGATCATGTCAGGGCGCATGACCTGGAGGCTTTGGGCGTTTTCGGATTTCGAGGGGTTGAGGGCTACCTTTCAAACTGCGCTCTGTTACTTTTACTATTGCCTGACTGTTACATCTGCGGGGTACTTGAGGTTCTACCGGCTCGCGGGCTGGGCATTGAAGCGGTCGAGGGTTCAGCTTGGACTGGAGAGGATTTGGAGTTGAACATTTGGGCAGGAGGAAGGGGTTGAGGTTCTTGAGCCCTAAACCCTAAACCCTAAACCCTTGAATCTTCAGCTCCGCCCTGCAAACTCATATTCCATGGGTGAACATCTCCGGCTTTTCAGGACTCTGTCAGAAGAGACGGGGCAGCTAACAGAGTAAAGGGTGCGCATTTACAGATCTGCGAAAATATGGCCAAGACGAACGCGGTTTGCATGCACATAGTTATGCATTCAAGCATATAATATACTGATATGCTCTAGATATACGTGTGTGTGTGTGTACCTCGAACAGCAATACGGTTGGATGTTCGGACTTGCTTATTCGAATATGTCCTTCCCCGACTGGAAGGCACCTTAAAGCCCGGAGGACTACAACACCCTCGAATGCTGTGAGCCGTGACCCTCAACCCTGAAACCATTCAAACCGCCAAAGCCAGCCTCAAACTCAACACACCCCAACAGCCCCCGAAACCCTAAATGCAGAATTTGGCCGAGCTGCGCCCATCGAAGCGATGCCAACGCCACTCTTGGCAGTACCGTATGCCTCGTGATGGGAAGGCTTTGGGTGGTTTAGGGGCTCCGGGCAGTTCAGGCTAAAGCTTGGACGGGACAAAGGGCTGCTCAGGCTGTAAACTGCAGCCAGGGTGCTGCACCGAGGTTTGCGAAGACCAAAGCCGACGTCACGCCCATGAACCTTGCTTCGCAGTTTCAGAGCTTGCAAGTTAGGAGATCGGCTATATAGGATCCGGCCTTGGATTCGTTGCTTCAGGTGGAACCTAGGGTGTTGCCGGGCTAGCGGAAGGATCCAGGTGCTTCCGGCAAAAGATGGTCCGTTTACACCTAGACAGTATGGTCGCCATTCTGGAGTACCCCGATAATTTCCGACGTTCCGTGAAATATGCGCGACAAAAGCGTGTCTCCAAACTGATGGTAGATCTAGCTAAGCTCATGGATCTTGCCTACTGCGGAAATCAAGCGAGCAGCCCCTGAAAATCGGACACCGGGGGGTTGGGGGCGGGGGTGGGGGGGGGGGGGGNNACTCGCTCTAAAGGCTGTGATCACAACACCAGGCAGTTGAGGCTTTCCCGGCTGACCCTATTTCCTAAACCTGGACTCGCTCTAAAGGCTGTGATCACAACACCAGGCACAGAATTGCGACTTTAAACCTGATTCGCAGCCGGTTCTAGCCTACTTATAGTCCGTTCCATGGCGATATTGTCGAACATCCATATGCTCCGTTCCCTCAGAACCAGAGTTTAGTTACAGTCTTCAGGGTGCAGATTTAGGCTCCGAGGTTCAGACTGTGACTCTAGTAGTTGAATGTGCGCGCTTCAGGTGTAGTCGTTGTCTTGTACTGCACAAGCTCCGACGCATCAGGAACGGACTACCCATCTCCGCCCCCGCCCCCTCCAGCCAAAACTGCAATTGGGATCTAAACTGGTTTGCAAAGTCTGAACGATGCACCGGAATGCTGAACCCTAAAACGAAAACCCCCAAAACCTAAACCCTAAAGAGCAAAACCCCAAGCCCCAGAACTGGGTTGCTTGCCCAAAGAAGGCCGAAGAAGGATCGCACTCCATCATGGTGGCTGGATACCCCTGCGAGTTCAGGACCCCGAGGTCGGACTCAGGATTTGGCGGGGGGGTGGGGGGGTTTCCAGAGTGGGATTTTGGGCTGAGAGTTTCGAGTTCAGAGCTCTGGTCTAGCTATTGGAGTTCAAAACTAAGGCCAAGGCGTTTGCCTTGGCTGCGGGCTTCGCAGACCTTCGCTTAAAGCCGAAAAGTGCGCAAGCATGTCTTCCTTGCTCCAAGAGCTGTCGAATCTGCAAGCTCATGGAACAAGAAGACCAAAGGCTGGTCAGCAACCTCAAAAAACTCTTGCTCTCCGTGCATGGCTCATGCAACTGAAGCTAAACGCCGTAAAACTGCAACACGGCTCCACCAACATGGAAATTCGAGGCCCTGAACCAGAAAACCGGCAAGAGGGACCTACTTGCCTGCTAGTCGCATTCCCAACTGGCAGGCCCTTGGGACCGGAGCTTCTTAATGCCTGAACTCCCAGCTGAGTAGACTGCTGAAACTTCTTCTGGAGCTTGGAAGTGCGTGCTACTGGGCCTGAGCTATGCAGGCTGTGGCAAGAAGGGGACCGAAAGAGCTGGAATAGGACAAGTACAAAACACGAGCTCAAAGCCATCAAAGTTTGCTAAACGCTTCTGGCCAAGAAGTGAAACACCCAGAAGGACCCAGAACCTACAAGAGAAATGACACAGCAGACTCAAGGGCACCATGAAAGAAGCCTTGGATGTGATTCCTTTTGGCCTCTTCAGTGTTCCATGATTTTCATTCACTTGTCCTCAGATTGCGTCACCATCTGCGTCTCGGCTCCTACGCCCCCAGACAACTTCGGTCGCCCTCAGACCTGTGTGACAGGGCCACATGAAAGACGGTGCAAGACGAAGCCTCGTGTCTTGTTGAAAGCCTCTCTCCATGTATATATATATATATATACATATCTAAGATACATGTAGATGTAGGTATACATAAACGTGTGTACCCATCTATATACACGGACTTACTTACAGACTTACTGACTGACTTACTCATTTACTTCCTTGCTTGCTTGCCTGCCTGCCTGCCTGCTTATTGAGGTACCCATATATAATCTTACATGCATACCTGAATACCTTCACTAACCACTTAATGACATACCTACTTGACATTTACATACATACGTACATCCATACTTATTTTCTTTGTTTCATATTTACTTACATATTCCCTCCCTCCCTCCCTCCCTCC